GGGATGGCTCTTGCCTTTGGGCTCTGTTGCCTCGACAGAATCGTTCCCCAGGGTTTGTAGTGGAGCTGCGAGCAAGGCACGGTTAGATGGTTACAAGATGGACCTTTGCGTGGGTGGTGTCCTAACTGCGGGTCCTGGCTTGCCTGGCATCCAGGCTTCTTACTGAACAGCTGGGCTGTCGAGGAGCTGACTTTGTTTCTTGCAGGGGAATGTTCAGGCTTCTAATTTACCCATCTCCACGCTATGAAACCTGGATGCTCAGTTTGATACCTTCAGTGAGGCTAAAGATGATAATATCTTATGGTCACAGGGGAAAAAAGCCTGCCTTTTCAGCTGCAATGTAAACATTAATGTAACTCTGAGCTCTCATACCCTAAAAGAGACACTGGAACAGGTTGCACAGAGGAGTTGTGGATACCCCCTCCCTGGAAGTGTCCAAGTTGAGCAACCTGGTCTAGTGGAAGGTGTCCCTGCTGATGGCAGGGGGGTTGGAACTAGATGGACTTTAAGGTCCCTTCCAACCCAAACCATTCTGGGGGGTGGGGGGGAAACAACAAAAAAAGGCTGAATAGGCTTTCTCCAAATTTTGAGGTGGTCTGCCTCTGGCCTGAAAATAACCTTGAGTATTTCTGGGCAATAGTTGTCTAGTTAAGAAAGCTGTAAGTTAATAGAAAAACATTTGGCATCAAGGTGCAAGGTTTAAATTCTCTACTTGTGTTGTTTGTTTCCATAATAGAGCAACAGAGGAATAGTAAAAAAAATTAAAATTCACATGTACATTTCCCTTGTGTACCTGAAATTAGCTTTCACATATTTTTTTCCTCATAAAGCATGTGTCATTGTTTGAAATGTGTTAGTGCTTCATTTTATGGAAGTGGATGGAAGGGGATTTCCTGGTTCTGATTTGACCAGTGATGTGTTTGCCGTAGAAGAAAAAAAACATTTTTGGAAGCCCAAGCCTTAAAATTGCCAGGAAGAAATTTTAAATGCAATGTGTCAGTAAAGCCTATTGGTTAGTGGTCCGTGGAATTCGGTTCTAAAAAGAAAAAGAAGTCAGTGTTTTTCCAGCTAAAGCAAAGCTTGGAGTAGAATGAGCATTAACAGCTTGAGCTGTTTGTGCAGGAGGGTTTGGTTAGACCAAAGCTTGCTCGTGTGGGTCAGGTTACCTGCCAGGGGCTTCAGCAG